GGATAGGTGGTGGCAATTATAGTAATGACATGATCCAGTAAAGCTTATGCTATGCTGTCAACTGTGTAGACTACAGTAGATCCCACACATTGGAGGTAGGGGAGCTCTATCATGGCAGTCTTCACAGCTGTCACAGAGGATAAAGAAAGTAAAATTTAGTTCATAAAGTATAAGTATTTTACCTTTTGATCCCCATTCTTCTGATGGGAAAAATGTTGAGATGTTACTTATTCTACATGTGTGTCATTTAATGACCAATGTGAGGGGAACAAAATATGCTGTGGTTCTCTTTTGTGGCTGAAGAGTAATGTAGTATGCAGGTCAGCCTCCTCTTACATCATGTTCACTCGGAGCTGTCTTGCTATTAGCCGAGGAGAGGTGTAATACGGTCAGTCTCCCGACCAGAAGCCCACTCTTTCATTCCTCACAAACTTACCTCACCATTATCAATAATTCCTGCTCTTCTTTTCTAACACCAAGTGAGAAAAAATAATGAACACTTTTTTTCACTATTTCTTCTTATGTTATCCTGTTTGTTAAATCCCTACTGCTCAGCTTTTTGTAAATGAAGGTAACTTACTGAGGAGAAAATGAACAAAAAATTCTTTAGGCTACATAGAGGACATTTGATAAAGGTTTTGGTTAACCTGGTTCAATACATCCTTATATCGAAGAATGCAGATGAGAACTAGATAATGCGTTTATTACAGGTATTTTCACCTCATTGGGTGAGTTATTTGAGTCACTCTAAAAAATTCTCCATGTATTAAATTTGTAAATTCAAAAATCTAGTATTTGTGAGCTAGTGACTGTGTACTCAACGTTATTCACTAAAGCCTTTACTTTGGTGGTTTTTTGACCTTTTTTTTTTTTTATTTCCATGTTTTTCACATGTGCAACCCACTCTCCTCAGTAATCTCTCATGATACACAGTGATTTTCATTTGGCATCCTCCCCATTGAGAACTTCTCCTCTACAGAATAATTTTATTTAATGCCATTTGTAAACTTTAATCAATAACCAATCAGTAACCATATCGAATTAGTATTTCTCTTAATCTCAATTAATAGACTTAAAATGAGGACTGATGTTAATATTTAAT